ATATGCCAATATCCTCTCAACAGCAAGTAGGTGGGTAGTTCTGGGAGAGTGCATATACTGACTAACAACACTGATTGCATAGTTGATGTCTGGTCGTGTAAGACAAAGATATAGTAGTTTACCAACTAATCTTTGGAACATAGCTTTATCTTCAAGAGGCTCTCCACCTTCTGCACTAATCTTGTGGTTTTGTTCAATAGGTGTATCAGATGGCTTAACACTTAACTTTCTTGTTTCTTCTAACAAATCAATGACATACTTCCTTTGAAAAACAAAGATTCCATGCTTGGACCGATCTACCTCAATATCCAAAAAATATTGTAGCTCTCCTAGGTCCTTTACCGCAAATTCTTGATGGAGAAGTTTCTTAAGAGACTCAATTTTGCTATTATCATTCCCTGTTACTACAATGTCATCCACATATACAGCAAGTAGAGTCAAGGAAGTATCCACTTTCTTAATAAACAAAGTGTGATTTGATTGAGCCTGCACATAGCCAAACTTTTCAAGGGCTTGTCTGAATCTATCAAACAAAGCTCTGGGGGACTGTTTTAGTCCATAAAAGCTTTATTCAACCGACAAACCTTCTTACCTGTCTCTGTACTATAAAAACCAGGAGGTAACTGCATGTACACTTCTTCTTATAAGTCTCCATTGAGGAAGGCATTTTTAACATCCATTTGGAACAAGGGCCAAGAGTAACTGGTTGCAAGAGATAATAACACTCTAATAGTGGTCATTTTTGCTACTGGTGCAAAAGTCTCCAAGTAATCTATATCATAAGAATGAGTAAATCCCTTTGAAACTAACCGGGCCTTATACCTCTCAATGGAACCATCAACATTATGTTTCACAGTAAACACCCATCTACATCCAACTGGTTTCTTCCATTTGGGTTGATCAACTAGCTCCCAGGTATTGTTTCTCAGAAGGGCATTCATTTCTACCTTCATTGCATCTTTCCACTCAGGAATGGTCAAGGCTTCCTGCACTGTTCTGGGAATGGGAATATCAACAATTGATGTAAGAAAGGACTTATAAGAGGGAGACAAGTGATCATAGGACAAGAATTGTGAGATACAATGGGCTGTGGATGAGGTGCAATGGCGTTTGCCTTTACGGACTGGCCTGGACTGCTGATGACCGAAATCAACCTGCCTCCATCGTTTGTGATAAACTCTCAAATCCCGACATTTTTGACAACCCTCCCCATTACACCCCTTTTCACTCAATGGAACAGGTAAAGGGATTTCTGATGTGTTAACCCCAACCGTACTATTCTCCCCTTGAGAAGAAACCCTAGAGTAATAAGGTACATCCTCAAAGAAAGTAACATCCATGGATACAAATCTCTTTCCTGAAGCAGGTTCGTAGCARCAATATCCCTTTTGAGTTTGTGCATAACCAAGGAAAATACATTTTGAGGCTTTAGGGTCAAATTTGGAATAGCGAGGGCCAAGAGTTTGCACGAAGCAAGTACAACCAATGGTTTTAAGAGGGACAGAAAACAACTCTTTATCAAGATATAAAAGAGTGAATGGGGTTTCATGTCAAGAACCCGTGAAGGAATTCGATTGATGAGATACACAGCTGCGAGAATGGCATCTCCCCAGAAATGTATAGGCACATTGGAGTTGAATATGATACTTCTAGCTATTTCCAATATGTGCCTATTCTCTCTCAGCCACCCCATTCTACTGAGGGGTATGAGGGTAGGTACTCTGATGGATAATCCCATGGTCAAGAAAATAAGAGGCTAGAGATGTTTTAAAGTATTCTCTCGCATTATCGGATCTGAAAAATTTTGATTTTTACCCCAAATTAGGTTAAAATCATCTGATGAAAGGTTTGGATTAGGGTAGGGACCTCATCTCGAGAACACATCAAGTAGACCCAAGAAAACCGGGTGTAGTCATCAACAAACAACAAGAAATATCTGTACCCCCCTTAGCAGTGATGTGATATGGTCCCCAAACATCGGTATGCACAATGTCAAAAGGAACACTACTTCTCTTATTACTTAATGAATAGGTTGTTCTACAATGCTTTGCAAGCTCACAATTTTCACACTTTAAATTGGACATCTGGATAGATTCAATTAAACTAGGAAACAAGCTTTTCAAAGACCTAAAGGATAAATGACTCAATCGGTTATGCCAAAGCGTGACTTGACCAATAGACTGAGAAACAAAAGACCCCCTAACTTCACTACCGTCCCACTGTGAACTTCCTCCAAGCAGATAGATTCCATTTGTCTCACGGTCAGTCCCAATCACCTTCCTTGTCTCCAAGTCTTGAAAAACACATCGATCAAGAAAATATGTTACTGAGCAATTCTGGTTTTTAGTTTTTAGTAATGCTGCTAACTGAAAGTAAATTGGTGCTAAGTTTAGGAACATGCAGAACAGAAGATAGGGAAATGACACTAGACAACTTGATGTCTCCCTTGCCAGAAATGGGAACAAGTGATCCATCGGCAATAAACACCTTGTCTTTACCAGAGGATAAGTGATAGGTAGTAAATAGTGAAGGCAAACCAGTCATATGATCAGATGCACCTGAGTCTATTACCCAACAATGTTCAGTGTTACCTGGAGCTGAAGCATGATAAGCTGAGGCCCGCGTACTTGAATGAGCAAATGCTGAGGTGGGAGGAGCTGATGTTGTGATTGGCTGAGATGATGATGCTGAATTACCAACCTCCTTTTCCAACTGAGTCAAGGCAGCTCGGACGGCAATGAGAGTGTCTAGTGGTGCTGCTCTTGTGCTTGGTGAGGTTGCACAATCAGTAGTAACAACTGTATTAGCATTCCCCTTATTGTTCCTGAGTTTTGCGGGAACTAGATGAGGATGTAGCTTCCAACAGGTTTCTTTGATATGCTTAGGTTTCTTGCAATGTTCACATATTAGGTCATTCTTGTCTTCCTTCTTCATATCTCTCTCATCCCCTCCAAACTTGGGTTTAGTTGCTACCAAGGCTGATTCAAGTGGCGAATGCTGTAACATAACTTTCCTTCTACTTTCTTCACTGTGCACTAGAGAGTAAGCTTGTGATAGAGTCACACTGTCTCTTGTTAGAAGCTATTGTCTAAGAATGTCATACTCAGAATTCAGACCAGCTAGAAACTCAAATACTCTATTGGTTTCAACCTGCTTTCTGTAGGTCTGTGCATCCTTCTGGCTTTTCCACTCAATTGTTTTTAAGTGATCAATCTCATGCCACAAGGATTTCAAGGTGGAAAAATAAACCGAGACTGGATTCTCTCCTTGCTTAAGGTTATTCACCTTACATTTTAGTTCATAGGCCTTAGCAACATTGAGGGGTTGGGAGTAGGTTTCTTTCATGATATCCCAATTTTCTTTAGCTGTTTTTGCCCATAAATAATTTCGGCTGATATGTGGTTGCATGGAGTTACACAGCCATGTCATAACCAAATAGTTCTCCTGAACCCATTTGGTATATATTTGGTCCTTCTTGGCTATTTCTTTGACATCTCCCAGTAAATAACTTAGCTTTCCTCTACCCCTAATAGCCATCATGGCTGATTGGGCCCACTCTAGGTAGTTTGGCCCTTCAAATTTTACAGTGGTAATCTGAAAACTGTTCTCAAGTATGCTACCAGCACCACCAGCCCCTAAATAGTGTTCCCCTTGGCTCTTAAACTCCATTCTTTGTCAAGAAAAGATTAACAAATGCCTTTTGTATCACTGAGACTGAGTAATTACACCCAGATTTTGCTATCAGCCGAACCTACTTTATCCTTCTAGGTTGGCAATCCACCCAAAAAGATAACCTTCCAAGTACAACTTAG